ATAGCCAGGAAAATCAATCTAGGCTTCAAAAACAAATAATGCACTAGCTGGCTGCTTAGTTTCGGCAGAGGTCGCGGTTACCAACATTGTCAAACTTCAATATGTAGCCTCTAGACTGAGAAAATATATATGCATCTCATACTAACATTGTAACACCTCTGGTGTTACGAGCCCGCTTAACATTGATATTATGGCCTGAGAAATAGATCTATAAGTATAGTGAGTTAGTTTAATCAAATGTGCTAATGAAAATCTTAATAAGAAAATAGGAAAAGTAGCTTTAATTGTTTGGCACGAAAAGCAATTTTTATAAATAAAATAAAATATAACTTGTATTTAGTACTTGAATAAAATTTGGAGCGCAAGTTTAATAGATGAAAATACAACTCTTGTTTTGGTGAATAAAAGTTGTTCAATAGAATATCTGATAGCTCAGAAATCGAATCTGACATTTAAACTAGACCTTTCGTGAATCGGTGAGAAGTTGAAATTATAGTTAGAATGCTATTTTTGACTATTTATATTAAGCAAAATAAGTAAGAGGCGTTCAAATGTTTTGCTCCTATGGGTTTGTATGGAGTATGGGCTATGTCATGCTATGTTTGATAGTTGAAATCGTCGAGGTTTAGACCTTGCAATAATTACGGCAAAGTGCTTAGGAATGTTAGTTCTAACTGAAACCTTGAATTCTTTTAAGTATGAAATGATACAGCCTGTTCGCTGGGTCGTATTTAGCTTATAAGCCATGGCTTATCAGCTAACAAACAGTATTTTCCTTTCATATCAAATCAGCCAACAGTACTTTCAACCATGACTTATAAGCCAAACCAGCCCAAATGAACAGGGCGATAGTAGACAATGCCATTTTGGCAATTGATTTCTGAAAATTTAGTTAAACACTAGTTGCATGTTTTGGTATTGTTGATTGCGTCAAAGTGAGTGCTTTGTGATGGTATAGGTGTTGGTTTGGTTAGTGCCTGTTTTGATCACTAGTTAAATGCCGTTAAATAGCTAGAACGTGATGTTGGCCAGCTAGTTGTTGGCCAGCTAGTTCTTGACCTCGAGCACTGGTTGGTAGTCCCAAGTTGACACGTCTCTATCTTCCTCTCTAGTTCATCTTTGTTCGAGTTTGTTGCTACTACTAGTAGCCGTATATACCTTCTTGAGCATTGTTGAGATGGTTTAGTCTTAACCGAGCGGGATTAGAATTTGGGCGCGCTTTAACATTCGTGCAACGCACGGTTCTGGCCATTTGGCCTGGTGTGTGCGGTCACCGCATTCTTTGGCGCTCGCGGGCTACTTTGTCGTCTTGTCATCGCCGCGCTGGCCGAGAACCGTGCTCAACTTGGCACAAACCATGCTCAACTTGGATGTGTGCCGAGCAAGGCCATGTGCTTAAATCACCTTGCCGTTTTTTCTATTGAAAAATAAATAACGAAATACAATAGAAAATTCACTTTTACAGCGGCGAACGAACCCTAACAAGACAAAAATATTCATCTTCATCTAACTATGTAAATCTCAACTATACTACTCAAAACATTATTTTTACATTTGTGGATTTACCGTTTTACCCTTAATTAAAAAAAATAACCACGAAAAAACAATTGCCACTCTTTTATTTTGAGTCCTAATCCTCTAAACTTTGGAGGCATTGGGAGGCGTTACGGACATATGGGCCCACCGACTATAGACACATCTAACGCCTCCCGACGCCTCCCTCATTGACGCCTCTCAACGCCTTTCCTCTTATGGGCCCACCAATCATAGATACAGTCAACGCTTCCTGACGCCTCCCCAACCAAAGTAAAAAAATTCTTTTAATTATTATGCAGGAAATCGCAATTACTTAAATCTGTGCATAGAACAAAAAAAAAACAATTATAAGTTACTAGCATAACTCATACAATGGTGTGGGACTTATCACATAGTCCTAAAATTTAGCTCTCTCTCACCTCGCTAATTGTGCAATGACTTCTTTCTCTCACCTCGCTGTTTCTCCGCATCATCAAAATTCATACATGTCTTTGCATTAAACTACCTATGGACCACTAACATGTATCAATATACTTGCCCTTAGCTAAATCGCAATGAGAACAACTAGAGACGTTCAAAACTGGTTTCTCATTGTCTGCAGTCTCGACTGATTTAGTCATTAAACTGATGTTTGTCTAAATCTTATTGTCGTCAGTGTAGTTGGCCTCGCAAGTGCGTGTGTCCATGACCAGCAGAACAGGCATGGTGACATGGGATCCCCTTAGTGTAATTTGCGCCTGCAAGTAATCAAAGGCCCATGGACAGTCTTCACCAAGACCGCTTATCTCGAGGAGGCAATTTGGTGGTGATCGATGCCCCTAATACCTTTCAACCCCGTCTAGTTAATCTCTTTTAGGAGAGGATTAGCAGAACAAGCGCTAACACCAAGTGTGATCAAAACCCAGGGATTGCAGGACTGTATGAAGCCCATCCCAATTCACCGAGTCGAACGCGTTCGCAAAATCTAGCTTGAACACCAGGGATATGGGATCCTCCTCTTATGGAACCAAGTCTATCTCGTGCACGAGACTGTCAGAGATGCAGGCTACCTTCAGCGTGAGGATGCAAAGGAAACCATTTGACTGGAGAGCCGAGCACTAGAAGTTGTTGCATTGCACGTTTTCCTCTAAGAGCGGATGGAGGAGAAATAATAGACTTTGCTTATAATTATTTTGATCTACTCGTGTTCTCTTTCCCTCTTTTTACCACTACTACAGTAAAATTTAACTGAGGCAGACAAATTGGATTAACTGAGGCGGGCAAGCTGCCGCCTCCGTCGAAAGGTCACGGTTAATCCGGCTTTAACGGAGGCAGTTGGCCACCCGCCTCGGTTTTATCGATTAACCGAGGCGGGTGGCGTAAGACAACCACCTCGGTTAATGCTATTAACGGAGACGGTTGAGTTAAGTAGCCTGCCTTCGTAAATAATTTTAGGAAATAAAAAAGCCCACCGAGCTCGGTCCTGCGCACCACTGCTTCTCGCGCAGCAGCCAGTGGCTGGATCCATGCACCTGCAGCCGCAGTTGGCCGGTTGGAGGCCGAATCCGCGCCGGGAGCTCGGAGGAGAGGGAGGCCACGCCATGCCATGCTCGAAGGAGAGGGGTGCCGTGCCGCGCTCGGAGGAGAGGGAGGCTGCGCCTGGGCCCATGCACCCCCATGGCCACCGCGCCGCTCTCCACCTCGCGCCCCGCACCGCCCCACCACGGCCACTAGGCGCCCCGCACCGTGCGCCCACCGCGCTGCTCCGCAACATGCGGTCAGATCCGGCCTCCCCACGCCGCCTTGACCGGATCCATCCTCCCCGCACCGTGATGGAGAGGTGCGCCGTCGTGCTCGGGAGGGAGAGCGTGCGCCGTCGTGCTCGGGAGGAGAGGAGTGTCGTCGGGCTCTGGAGGGGAGGAGCCGGCCAGAGGTGGAGGGCGCGCCGTAGATGGAGGTGGTGGGGACCGACCGGAGGTGGAGGGTGCCGATGGAGAGAGAAGGGCGCTGAGGGAGAGAGGGAGATGCGCGGCGTCGGGAGGGAGTACGGCTTCGTTCGGCTGGCTGGAGCCAGCTGGTTCCTCCTCAGAAAACACTGTTCACGTTTCAGCCGGTATAATATTTTTCTCTCACAACAAATCAGCTAAAAACGACCAACCGGCTTTAATCCAGCTCAGCCGAACAGAGCCTACGGGCGTACGCGAGAGGGAGGGGAGATATTTCTCGGTTAGGCTAGAGATGATGTCACGTGGGGCTCGCCTGTCATTCTTGGTAAAGAAGCACAAACGAATTGACGGTCGAGATGACTCCACGTGGCCTTCGATCCAGCCGTTCAAGGACTCCACGTCAGCAATCCGGGGCAACAACTAATCCAACTGCACGCTGCAATTCTTTCCAATCGGGCGCGCCTGATTTATGGAGGCGGTTATGTTGGAGCGACCGCCTCGGTTAATGTAAAGGCAATCGCCTCGGCTAATAAGCATTAACTGAGGTGATTTTCTTATAATGCCGGTCAACCGCCTCGGTTAATAACCAAGGCGGCAACCAGGCCACCCGTCTCGGAGCCCTATTTAAAAACGCCTCGCAAAAGAATATGTGTGGTAGTGTACGGCAATTAGCTGAAATATTATAAGAACTTGGGTGTGCGCTTGCAGAGGCCGGAAACTTTTTTCCATTATCTAAAGAATCAACTCCGAGATCCGACGTCGTAGTCGTGTCTAAGATCTTTGGCCAGGATCTTGGGCTCTTGGCACTGCAATTCTATAGGCAAATCGGTCTGAAACGGGCGGTCGACTCGCTCGCTACAGCCCTACTGAATGAATCGCAATAAAATGCCTCCTTAAACTCCTTGACTTTCGTCTTGATTGTGGCCCACGAGGCGCGTTAAAAGAATTTGGCCAAGCCCATCATGCCCGCGTGCGCTATGACTATTCGGCGTGCCCTGTCCGTATATATTCACCTCCATGATCACTTATAGTTCAAGAAATTAGAGGTAGATCACGCGAGTTCAATTTCGTTGACTTCGTTCATGAAGGGAGGCAATCAAACTTTGATGCCCATGTCTTAGCTAGAAGTAGTGTCTATGATGATCTTGGTAGACATGTTTGGTTTGTATCTCCGCCGAATGACGTTTGTACTTCTTATGAAGCTCAATAAAGGTTTTGCTTCCCTAAAAAAAACCCTCCATGATAATAATATCATCACAATCCACAATTCCAAAAAAAAGGACTGCAAATTTTGGTAGTATATAGGAAGAAAAGAAGGAGCAATTTTCTGCAATAATCCTTCGTACAAAAGTTATTGCGCCAATAATCACCGAGACATTCCACCTATCCGTTGTACCCTACGGCTAACAAACGGCAGAGATCACATGCACTAAGCAGATCAAGTTACAGAAACCAAAGAAGCCAAGCAAACTGCTCACAATTCACTAGTCACTACACACGCGCTGCCTGCCACGCACACGTTAGCCCAGCCGTGTGCCGTCATCCAGAGCTCAGAAACGGGTTCCATGTCTGCTGCGAGTGCGACGACATCACGCCGCCCTGCTGCTGCGCGTAGGCCGCCTCGGTCCAGCCCTGCAGGTGGAGCTCCGTCGTCTCCGGAGCGGCGGCGTCGCTGCCTTCTACCATGCTGCTCAGCAAGTCCCGGAAGCTCGACAGGCTACTCTTGCTGAACGGCTGCGCCGGCGCCGGCAGCAGGTGGTGCGCGTCCGCGAGGCCGGAGTCTTGGTGGTAGTAGTAGCCACCGGTCGCCGGTGTGCTGTCGAAGGACAGGTAGGCGTCGTCGGCAGGTGCCATTTGCGGCATCGGCAGGCCGATCAGCTCGCTGGACGTGGACAGTGACCCGGCCTCGTCGGGGCCTGCCGCCGGTCTTGTGGTGGTAGTTCGGCTCTTGTAGAACACCCTGCACAGGACCCAATCCTCCTGCAATTGAGTACAAAAATTCAGACAGTAAGATATACATATACTGACGGCCCTACGCGTGTGCAGCCGATTTGACAAATTCAGACTTCAGAGCATGTGAATGAGACATTGATCGGATCAAACATGGGTAGCCTCACGTGTGAACTCTCTGGAGTCTGCTAGTAAACGCACCTCGTTGCTTGATCGATCATCAGTCAGTTTGGAACTCGTACAATTGAATATACGCTGGAGTATTTTCGCAAAAAAAAAAAAAGAATATACGCTGGAGTATGCACTAGATGTCATGTCGATGAAAACAAAGGCCAACTTGGCGTGTAAAGAACAGGCGGCACACAAGGGGTCAAAACTTTTTCAAATGTTTTGCGCACGTACTACACCGCTGCTAATTTAGTGATGCTGATGCACCATGCGTGGCGATTGAAAGAAACCACTGAACTACCTTGGAACGGATTGGCGATGTGTACCATGTTTGGAATCATTGGGCAGGACCAGGTCAGCTACAATGATTGCCAAGTGGCTCAACTAGTTTATCACATATTCACATCAGAATGTTCAGAGCAGGATCTCTTGCTAGCCTCAGCGAAAACGAAAAGATTGCATTTTTGTTGTTTGTCTGACAGAAACATGAGGTGCAGAGAGCAGCTTTGCCTGCATGAGCGACATTAACTAACATGGTAATTCAGGTGTTTTTACATGCTTTATGTTCTGACCAAGTGCGTGGTTAATACTTAATACTGCACTGCACTGCACTGCACTCTAAATCACACGAAACAGATGCAGACAGAGACGAGCGAGGGCACCCATGTAACGGCCGTGTACGCACGTACGTACCTGCAGGAGAGGTGAGCCGGGGCGGTCGGCAACGGCCGGGCCGTCCACGCGGAACTCGTGCATGACCCACTCGGTCTTGGTCCCGCGGGGCGCCCTGCCCTGGTAGAACACCAGCGTCTTGCGCATCCCCACCAGCGCGCCGGCGCCGTTGCCGCCGCCGCCTCCGCGGCGGCCGGAGATGGAGATGGGGCGGTCCTTGCCCGTGGCCTTCCAGTACCCGGAGCGCGTGGCGCGGTTGGTCCGCTGCCCCGTCGCGTACTTGCGGTCGTGCAGGCTGAAGAAGTACCACTCGCGCCCACCCACGCACGCCTCATCTGGTCATGGACAAGACAACGGCGAGACTTTTTATGTTAGCTTCCTTTGTGATTTCGATCTCTCTATATATATATATATATATATATAACTAGGATATATATATATATATATATATATATATATATATATATATATATATATATATATATATGATATATATAATCGATTTGATTTATTTGGGTTTATTTCGTTTAAGTATTTAATAATTATTACTTAATCATAGCTGATTTGATGTGAAAAAGAAAATTTATTTGTTGATTAAAAAATACGAATTATAAGTTTTTAAAAAAAGTCCCAGCGATACTCTATGATGATAAGAAGTTTCAAACACGACATATGCATCCTTTGAAAAAGGAACCACCGGTCGTATACGACTAGCTGGCAATGTAAAGAAATAAGAAAATGTACATAGACTTTTGCTTGGCAGTTGGCACACCATGCGGATGCAGAGATGGATGAATTATCTCCCATTTCTACATATTTATAATATTTTAGTACATGAATTTATAAACTTTATGCAGCATTGGTGTCGTGGTGTAGTTGGTTATCACGTCAGTCTAACACACTGAAGGTCTCCGGTTCGAACCCGGGCGACGCCAATTACGTTTTGTCAATCTTTTTTTAAACAGATTCACCTTCTGGTACAATCTGCTTTATCCGGCCGCGCCTATTCTTTCAATGAATTTTCCTGCTTACTTAATTTTTATTTATGTAACGCTACTATTGCAACTAGCTAGTTTCCTACGGTGCCGGGCTCTTGTTGATAGGTGCAACGGTGCAAGTGTGCATGTGCAACATAGAACCATAAACCTGAAGCAAATCGATATATGTAGCACAAGTTGGACCTGACAAGTACCTGGAAGATCCCACGGCTCGCACTTGTTGAGGTCGACGTCCACCATGGCGATGCCGCTGTACGCCGCACCGCCGCCGCCGCCTTTGCCCGAGAGCTTGCGGCAGAGGTAGTCCAGCACGAGCTCGTCGTCCCTGGGGTGGAACCGGAACCCCGGCGGCAGCCGCGCCTCCATCATGCTGATCAAGCTCATGGTGGATTTCCGATGGCGTAGGCTACTGCTACAAACACGCACGCCCTGTCGCGCTTGACGACGTACGCTTGGGAGCTGGGAGCGACAGAGAGAGAGAGAGAGAGAGAGAGAGAGAGAGAGAGAGAGAGAGGCAGAAGAACAGGGAAGAAGAAGAAGATGGTGGCGTCTTCAGCGGTTTCAGTCTTTCAGAGCGCAGGATGGGGCTGGGTATAAATAGGGAAATCTTGGCAAGGGACCCTTCCCAAGCATGTCGCAAAGGGTCTGGCACTGTTTGATATCTCGTACTACTAGCCGAAGTCACACGACAGGGAGACGGCGGTGTGCCCAACGGCCATGTCCCTCGGTTAATTTTCGGCACAAAAAAAGGCCACGTCACCCATGATCCCTGTTCCAACTCCAATACGGCTTTACATGTATGAGCCAAGCCTAGCTATGATGGCCTATGGGGGTGTGCATTGTGCTTGCATACGTACAGAGGTATCTCTCCTCCCTCCTGCAGTGTGCCGTAACGTCTGGGATACGTACGTACAGACTCATTAGACTGCGTCCTTGCGCCGTTCATGCGTCACTTGTTCAGTTGACAGTTCAGCCTAATAAGGAAAAACTACTGCGACGGACGGAACATGTGACAATACATTATAGTGCGCGTTAGCAAATAAGTCGTAGAAATCCATGGTTGCAGTTGCAGGGTGCCGGAAAGGACGACGCGTTCGATCATGTGGACGTGGACCAAAACGTTATCAGTGTCATTCATATAGCAACTGATAATTCTTGCCAGCCATCATGATTCAGAGGTAACATCACGCCCAGTCCAATTCCAAACTGTTCGTTTTCCAATCCAGCTTTTGACCACCCGTCATGTCAGATGTAAGTGTAACCGTGGCCGTCGAAGTGGCAGGGAGCCCGTGCGAACGCCGCCATGTCGCGGCGGCCACCGCCGCTGGATCAGCGATCCACGCCACCGGGAGACGTTGAAGTCGTGCTCCAGCGCCGGCATCCCTGTCCTGCTGTACTCTTTGCATTGCATCTTGCTTCTTGCCCTTATGGTTACAGGGCAGGAGAGACGCGTCTCTTTTCGACGACCGGCTGCGCACGACGGCACGAGATAATTGATTGCTCAGGGGATCAAGCGATGATGCTCATCTCTTGCTACAGGCGGTCACAGGCGCAGAGCTCCTATCTTATCTTGCATGCTTCCGCCACGCTGCCCCCAAGGCTCCATCTCTCCAAGAGCCAAGAGGTTATGAAACTGATGACTCACTGACGCGTTCACGATGACAAGCATACGCCGTGGCAAATTGCTGGCTGTATAGCTCATCATCAAGTTAGGCATGGAATGATGCGTGGTCGGTTTGGCCTATCCATTGTTTTCCCCGGGATGGAAATCGATATTCGATGGGGGCAAAAGTTCTAGCCTTCTAGGAACTCGCTCCTCATGGAACATCAGATCGTCGACGGAGATGTCTCGATCGATTAGAATAGGAGCTTCCTCAAGCAGAGAATTATTCCAAATCTGCCCAACTAACACTGTCTTCTGACAGCGCCGAGATGTCGTCGATGATGTCTGCACATCCGCATGTTTCAGGGGCATCAGCCGATGTCGATGTTCTCTACCGATCGCATCGGCCTGGAGAAAATCTTCACAGTTTACTGTTCTCTGACCTGCCGGACCATGTCAATTCACTTTTACGTTCAGCAACTTCCAACTGCGGGAGGGAGTTTAATTTGAAGTGGTTTCTACTTATGGTCCAGAGGGGAAATGTTTTAAAATGCCTTTGAAAAGGAGAGGAGCAGTTATTATTCAAATGATATCGATGGCAATGATGTGTGCAAATCACAAATGCGGTCGACGAGAGAATTCCAAAACGGATTTATGCTTAATATATTTAATCAGCTTTTGGTTGATTCTGAAGATTTCAAATGCTACGTTTTCAGAGGTCTGGAATCCGGAGTAGGGCAGTTGACAAGGCCCCCTACCTTCTACTTAGTAGACAGCTGAAACTAGCAGCATCAGCAGCTACCTTTTTATTCAGTGGGAAGTGGTTAAAACCTGTAAAGTAGATTAGTAGAATGGCAACTTGTCATAGTTGATACTAGATTTGTTATCACAACTTGTTACTTAATGTATGTAACAATCATAATTCTTAAGGCTGCTCCAGGTACCACGATAACAACTTGTTATAACTGTTACTAGATGTCTAGATCTGTTATAGCAACTTGTTACCTATATGTTTGAAAAAAAAACAGAATTCAGAAGGCTGCTTCGGCAGCAAATATACAAAGATGCTATTGTGAGGAGGGCAGCAATAATCCATCTCACTGAAGCTGAAGTTTGAACGCAAAAGCCTGAAAATTAGACCTATGGGAAAGTCTAAACCCCCAATCAAATCAACAGCGGCTTTCGCCATCGGATTCGGTAGCACGCACACGGGCGGAGCAGACTTATCCTGCGAAAAAAATCAAACAAGAACATGTGGAAAATCGCATGTACCGTACTTGGTCTCGTCACGACTTTCTGTGCTCCTGATCACCTGGTACTGATAAGCAGTTAGGTTTGTGCGGCCTCCTCTACCTTGAGAGATAGTCATGTCGGTCTTTTTCAGGGAAGGAAAACCTCTGTGAGGCAGATTTCACCAAGAAGGCCTATCCAAGTCCAATGGCACTACTCTGCCAAAGTCAAAATTCAGAGGTGCAGATGCAGCTGGAGCAGGTTTGGGTAGCACAATTGTGATAGGTACACCCGAACTGATCCATGTCATCTGTGGTGGTACCATTAACGCTGTCAAACACGTAAGCAAGATCTCTCCCTGATGCGTTTCTGGTTTTCTTCTCTGAAATGTTATGACTTGAAACAGCTTCAGGAAGACCAGATATCACTGCCATCATGTGGTATCCAATCGTTGTGTAGGCTTTGACGAACGCAGTGAGGAAAGGCTCCTAGGCTTGCTTCTAGCTAGCTAGGCAGCTACTAGCATCTCCCCACCTGGTTGTTTTCCATCTAAAAAAAAACCTTGTTGTTTTCCGTGGAAAACAGCAGGACGAACATGCTACCTGAATTTCTTCATGCTGATGCTTCTTGGTGATGTATAGTTGTATACTAAGGTGCACGAAACACGATCAGCAGAATCAAGTGCGCAAGTCTCTTGTGCTGGTTTAGGTGGTTGCTGCTGGACTCTGATGCCAGTCAGCCTTTTCTTTCGAGCCTCTTGTGCTCGTCCTTCATGTCTTCTCTGAAAATTTCTCAAACTCCGTGTATTTCCGTTACAAGCTTAATGGAAATGGGGTTGCCTCGCGTTGAAAAAAAAAGTGCCCAAGTCTGAATTTTGTGAAGCACACACGCTTCTGAAGGGGATGCAGATGGAACAAGTTTCAGTCTCCAAGATGCTGAAAACACATCAGGATTCAGAGCTGCTTCTTCCCCTTTTGCCACTTTCATTAGGACACTGGACATGGAACTGTTACTGCCCCCTTTTTCAAGTCAGTAAAGCGTGAGGCCTCGAGGCAACCTCTTCCGTGAATTTCAGATAAGACTATGTGAGTACGAATTTAACACATGCTGAAATAGCGAGTGACCTGATGTCCTCTGAATCCGGTCAAAACCTGCAGGTTTGGCAGCATCTGTCCAATTGTCAAATTCTCCCTGCTTGTATCGTCACACGTGCACATCCTGCCAATATTTTTGCACTTCCAGATTATCCAAACGGTCAGCTAACCTCCAGGAAGGCGAGAGGAATTCGACGAGTTGACCATCCGGATTGCTTATAAAAATGATTTCATGGAGAAGTTTTACCAATCCGTAGGTTCAAAACACTATTTCATGGCTTGGAACCTACTATTAGTATGCAGCTGTATCAATTGCTTGCCTTGTATGGAATGCCCAGCCCAGTTCTCTGGGGCAATTGAAACCATACTTGCGCTGACCGTATGCCTAAAGTTTTATAAACGTTGTGGTGCAGATGACGACGTAGTAACTTCGAACACCAAAATGAGGAGTGTTTGGACATGTACACATGGCTAGTTACTAGTTGGGACAAAAGGTAAACAAATTAGACATGGTTCACTAGCTAGTTAGCTAACAACTAGTTGAAGATTTGACTAAAAAATCATTCCACCTATTAGCCCTCCTATTTGGATACATTAAAGCTAATTTCGATTAATTTTTAGCTAGTTAGCAATTAGCCCATTATCAAATAGGCCCCTTTGTCTAGCCATGGGTGTTTGGTGTACGAATGATTCTCAAGAAGATGAATTCATGTACAAGCACTTGTCATTGGGGATTTGGGTGCTGCCATAATATAATAATAACACCATTATGAACTGTACCTAGCATCAAAGGAGAAATCAAGAGAAAAAAAATAAATTATCATAAAACAAACATGGTGGGCTACTGCATAGCATCGATCCATTTAGGCCCAATGGGCCAGCCGTTGGCTGTTTAACCACATGTTCACGGCCCCATAGCCACGGCTCTCCGATCGGCTCGAACACCACCCATCTTGCGCCACCAAGGCCCAAAAGCATATTTGCCTGTGCACCTTGAGAAGCCTGATCAAAATTTTTTGTCTAAAATGTTGGGTTTGGTTTATAGCCAACGCCCTGTTGGTTCGTTTTAACCGAGCCTTATCAAGTCATGGTACATTATTTTTCTTTCACAACAAATTAATTATACAAATCAGCACAAATAATTTATAGACCAGCCAAATAGGCTGAGCCAAATTTAGGTTGAAAGAAGTTATTAATGATAATCATGTTCCCTAAAAAAATGATAATCATGTCAATTATTTAAACTGTGAGATTGACACGTAGACAGATCATAGGTGACATGGATCTTGATTCGTAGATTTGATTATAGGGAGTGCAATGATTCAGGCAAATTTACAGGAGCATTCACGGTTTACCAAGTATTTTGATTTTGAAACTGATAGTCCAAATAAGCAACACATTTAATACCACCAACGAGCAGCAGCTGCTCCTTCTGATTAAGAACTATTTGAAACGCAGAAATTTTATAAATAATATCATATCATATAAAAATTTCGGATGAACTAATTAATAATTTAAAAAAACATATACAGATAAATTTTCTAGCGTTCCAAACATGCCCAAATAGCCTAGGCAGCCCCACTGCCTCTCCCCGGTGCGATTTGGTGGTGCCAGATCGAAACGAAAGCCGAAATCGAAATCGAAATCCCAATTGCATCTTCCACCTCTGCGCTCGTATGGCTCGCCGGCGTAGACGCCCCTCCGGCCGGGGCGCTAAGGTGGCGGCGAAGCCTGCCGAAGACTCGCCGCCCGACACGGACCCGACATCCTTGTCCTCTTTCCCTTCCGGTAGATCCACCGACCCCGCCACCTCCCAGCACAAATCCCCTCTCTCTGGGTTTCAACCGCACCAGGACGACGACGATGAGGCTTGGACTCAATCGGACAAGAGGGCCTTGAGGCGGAGGCTGCTGGACATCATCCACCGCTTCTACCTCGACGCCATCTCGCGGTTGCCCCCAGTCGAGTTCAGGAGGACCACCGGCCTCACGCGGGGCCTCTTTGTCGGTGGCCACTGCTTCGGTCCACTCCACCCCGTCCACAACATCGTCGTCAACTCCATCTGGTACGCCGCCGCCTTTCCCGTCCGACGGCCCGCCGGCAGCGACGACGAAGATGAGGCCAACGCACTGCTCAGCACCGACGGCATCGCCCGTATCTGCCACCGCTCTCTCGACGGGCTAGTGGCCGCCCTCCGCCACCTGTGCCCCTCACTCTCCAACGGTGATGCTCTGTGGCGGCTCTTCTCCACTAGCGCTGACCTCACCGCTGCCGTCGCACTGGCAAACGGGGTCAGCAAATCAAGCGCGCTGCGTGTCGTCGCGTCTCAGGGCCATGCCGCTTTTCATCTGGCTGCACTGGTTGCGCAACACCCCGATCCCACAGCCTTTGCTCACTTCGCATCATCAGCGTTACCTTCTATCAATGGGCAACACAACATTGTTCAGCTCTTGATCATGAAGCATATGCTCGCATCTCGGCACATCAACTACCTCTCTAAAGTGCTGGTGCCGTCATCACCACATGAACCTTCTGTGCCACCTCTCATGCTTAGCACACAAGTCCTTGACTGCATTGCATCTCAGAAGCAGCAATTCAAGGGCATAGGAAAACAAGTGGTCAATGTTGTCAACATGGCACTGCAAGAATACACTCAACGGTCTGGTGAACAGCTGAAGCTTCATTCTGTGTGTGGTGCTGGTCTGCTAAAGGAGGAGGGACTAGAGAACTGTTACCACATCAATTTCCTGGCATACCACGAGGGCTCTGGTTCCGCAGTAGCCGCCCCTGTGCTCTTCTTCACTGAGGCAATTATTCCTTCTTGTGATGAGACTGATATCCGCCTATGTGTGCCAGTTGATCCTGTCACAGACATTGGTATGCCCCTCCTCTGTGAAACAGTTCAATTTTTTATTCGAGTGTACATGAATGAAACACGCTATTGAATCTGTATGAAGCATGGCTGGCAACTATCAGCATGAACTTGATTTATTTATATTCTTCTTTTAGTTACTGTTATGCCCGAATAAGTATTCATTATCCTTACCAGAGTTGATAGCAACCATTCAGATAGGAGAACTGCCACATAACTATGCAATGCTCCATCTGGGGCTTCTTTATTGTCAGTTTTGTCACCATTATGCAATTTCGGTCATCACATTATTTGGATGATAGTTTCTGTACAAGTTTCTCCCTTATTGTTTTTGCATAGGGATAAATATGATTCTTGGTGTTTCTCTGCTGCCTTAAACATTTGGTGTTTCTTTTATTGTACATACCCATATCACTACTTCATATATGCCCGTTCCAGTCATAATGTTTTGGAGAACACACATTCTCCAAAACCTAGCATTGACCAATAATTCTTTTGGAATACATCTGTAAAAAAGAGACACTATAAAAACTATTTTGAGGACTTAAGGACACGTAACGTTTTGTGCTAGACATTTAATTTTCTAGAGTTTTGACTGGACATTGTCTAAAGCGTCCCTGGTGCTGCATGGTAGTGTGCCCACCTCCCTGTTGAAACTGCATAGATGGGTCTGCGGGCGACAAAGAAGCGTGCGCGCGTGAGGTTCCTGCCTGTTCCGATTTTGGTGGGCCCCTTCTTTAAGACTGAAGTCAAGGGGACGCCTCTCCCCTTGGTCAAATCTTTTTTTCATTGTCTAAACCGTCAAGTATTTGTGACTGCCTGACTGGGTGACAGTTTATATTATTATTTATTGGGTATGCCTTATTCAAGTTTTTACTTTCAAGGAGCATTTGCTGTTGGTACAAAAGTTGATGTTATTGGTCCTCTTTAGCTGAAATCTCAATTGGCCATGGTGCGTCTATTTTACAGATGAAGTATCCTTTCTTTGTCCAGAGTGTCCACAGTGAAGTGCTTCTTCTTGCTTTACCGAACAACCGAAACCTTTTCTGGTCCAAGTATTCACTCACCAATTAGCATATTTTCTGGTGTGTTCCATATTTCAGGCTTGATTTGAAGCAGCTGAGTTAGATGCTCTGCTGTCAACTGATTGACTCGTTCCACTAGTAGCTTCCAGTACCATCATTTTCCATCTACAAATAATTCCCTTGAATATGATATATACTTCCCCTGTCCTCATTTGAATTATGCCACATTGCAAGCTCTCCTAAATGTTGCCTTACAATATTAGTATACCCTTCCTTAGGCCCTTCAGTTTTGTGTACCTGTAGAATTGATTTGATTATGAACTTGTTGATAGTTCACATGGCTACTTGATTGTTTATCAGATTCTGATATCATCCTTCATTTAATTGCTTTGACATATTCATATCAGTAACACGCTTTATCCTTATCTATGTGCAAATATGGTTCAATGATACTCCCTCTTTTTCAAATTGTAAATCGTTTTGGCTTTTCTAGGTGCATAGTTTTTTCCTACTAACCTAAGATATATGCTATTTCTAGATGCATAGTAAAATCTATCTATGTATAAAAAAAGCCAAAACGACTTACAATTTGGTCTTTCCTGCTTTAGTCCATGCCTGAGAAGTTGTAACCAAATAACAGTCACTGACCTTTCTTGAAAATTCTTTCTTAGGCCGCTGCTTTGCTTGTGAGAGCAACAGGAAGAAGGTTGTTCACCCCTTTTATGATGAATACCTTGGTGGCCGTGAATTTCAAGAGGATGAAGTCAACTATGGCAATGATTTTCCAATTCCCTTGGATGCGGACTATATCTTTTTTGATGCTGATAGAGACATGGCTTTTGCAAATTACTTGTGGAGGGAGAGCACGGGTCATTGATGTTGGCTGTCAGGAGTGGTGTCGTGCTGTTAATCTTTGGACCTGGAAGACAAACCATAGGGACTGGTTGGGTGTCTTTGTGGCAGCAACTAAGCAAGTGCGATGGTACACCTACTGTGTTGTTTTTCAAAATAGCATAGAACACTGCAGCTACCGCGGTGCTTATCTCTCTGGTTATCATGACTAGGATGATTATGCAGACAATTTCTCCGATCATGTATAGTAGTGTTTGGTTCTGCGGCCAGTTTTCTGTTACCCTTGTTTTGGGCCCACTTATCGTAAACAAATTTGCTTTCCTAGCATGAGGTTGGTACGGGCATGGAAATGTTCTGTTCCTTGTGATATTCGAATGAGACATTAATAGTACATTCGGCTATTCTTATAGTGGCAAAACTGAAGCATTCCTCTCGTGATGATCATTTTTCTGACCCTATTTGTAAAAATCATTTTCTCGTTTTTTTCTTAAATAAACGACGACACCAGTTTGTCTTGTAATGTTCAGTTATCCTGCAATTGGTATTGTGAGATTCTAGATGGACGTCGAGTAATTTGACTGTTGGAGCAGTAGTGACTAGTGACTGGCTACTTTGGCTAGAACTAGAAAGGCAGGTTGTCTGGCACTTGACTTTCTTGTGCAGTTTCAGTGTGCCATCTCATAGAAATTCGTGGGACGGTTGGTTTCGTGGATTTTATCAATTTCATATCTTCTGCATACTCGGCTAGAAACTATTGATTGAATGGATATCTTGGTCGATCTGATCGTCACATAATAACTTTTTATTTATTTATTGATATTCTTTTTCTTTTCAAATAAGTTGATCATAATAACTCGTAAGTATGTCTATGTTTAAATGATCAAAGAATATCATATTTACAACAACAATAACAACAAAGCCTTTAAGTCCCAAACAAGTTGGGGTATGCTAGAATTGAAACCCAGCAGAAGCCATCAAGGTTTAGGCACGTGAATATCTGTTTTTCAAGCACTCTTATCTAAGGCTAAGTCTTTAGATATATTCCATCCTTCCAAATCTACTTTTATTGCCTTTATAAAGAATATCATATTTAAAAGTAAAAATAAAATAAAACTAAAATTATGGTATAGTTGCAAACTTATTCAATTCGATATATCGCTAATAACCTTAACGCGCTACCATAATACTTTTTAATCTTATTATATCGCATCTTTACTACCTTTATTTCAAATTATAAGACGTTGCGACTTTTTTAGATACTTATTACTCAACCCGTTTCAAATTATAAGTTGTTTAGCTTTTCTAGGTACATAGTTTTTGCTATGTATATAGACATAGCGCATATCTAGATGCATAGAAAAAGCAATGTAGCTCGAAGAGCTAAACCGACTTATAATTTGAAACTGAGTAGCAGTTTTTATTATGCACTTAGATACACACTTTTGTTTAAAAGCCAAAAAGTGGATCAATCCACGCTACTCTTTGCACATGGAGGCTATTACCTTTGTAAAATGGCTTAATGCATAACCTCTAAAATCTAAAATTAACTTTGAAGCCAAGGCCAGGTTTAGAACCAGGATTGGATCGGACCATTCCCATTCTGGCAAGTGGCAACGATGTTTCATGTTTGGTCGCCGTCAATCTACAACCTGCACGGAAACCAAAAACAACAAATAATTTAGGACTTGTCTACCTCCCACTGGAGTGTTTCAGAGGCCGGGAACGCTCTTATTTTGGTACACATCTTCTTCCTCCCCTCGTTGCCCACAGCCCACCGCCCCGCTGTGGTGCGGTAGGATCTCGCCGGAGCTCCACCGGCGCGGGCGCAACTGCGGAGCTCCGGCGAGACCCTACTGCACCCACGGCGGCCTCCTTCCCCCCCCCTCCCCCGCCCTGACCTGGCCTAGCAGCCTCCACCGCCGCTGGAACCCTAATGGCACCTTCCCGCCGTCCCCACCGCTTGGTTGGCCTGCTTTCCCCAAGCCCCTTGTAAGCCCGCCGTAGTTGGGGAAGAAGAGGGGAAGATGCATGAGATGGAGAGAATGAGAGGAAGAGAAATTGAGTGTTGAAAGGGCGAGGCGTCGCACGAGTTAGGAGCCGAAGCCCTGCGGCAGGCTACTGTCCGCCACCCATCGGTGCCATTGCAACATGTGCAACACCCAATTTACTTTTGAAACATACAGATGAAATTTTGAAACATACGTCTGTAGACAGATGAGACACTTGAAACATGTGTATGAAACACTAGCAAAAACACCTGAAAACATATGAAAAACTATTGCAAAAAATATGCAACATTGAGATAAAACATTTGCAACATATGTGCGAAACATATGTATCATCCAAATAAACACACTTGCAACATATGTATGAAAAAACAGCTGAAATATTTAGAACATACACTTGCAACTTACGTTTTCGACGCAATGTCACCTTATAGCTTGGAGGAATGGAGGTTCGTGGTCGTGGAGCTCGCCGATGCAACAGCGGCGCAGGCAACTCGTCGGCGGGATGGCATCATGCGAAGCTCCTCCATCGGCCAGGGGAACAACGGCTTCGGTAGCGCCTCGGCAGTGCCTCGACGCGGCGGGGGATGAGGCACGGCGCACACAACGGTGGGGGGAGGAGTTGGGGATTTCTCAGCGCGCAATTTAGAGATGGGGACGGGCAGATGGAGCAGGCCAGTGCGGGCGCTGCGCCGCGACAAGGCGGTTTGGAGCGGATGCGGACGTCCTCCCTGGACTGCCATTGCCACTGCCTCTGCCAATGAGCGAACGGATTCAGACTAGTTGGGGATTTCTTGGGCGTTGTCCTATATTTAGAGATGGTAATAATATAATGCTCAGTTCGCCAGATCGTTCATTTTTGACTGTTGGCTGAAAAAAATATTATTCGTACGGCAAAAGCGCAACAGGGCAATACTCCATCCCGTTCCAATCCCCACCGCCGGCAAAGCGATACAAAGAGCTAGGGCATGGCTGGCCGGCGTAACCGTAGCCGCCGCCGCCGCCGTCTCCGCGCTAAGCTAGATTCGGAGGCATCCAAATCCTCCTCTCCGCAGTCGTCCAAATCCTCATCTCCCCAATCGTCCGGTTCCTCCTCCCACGATCGCGCCGCCGAATGCAAAAAGCCTCTTCCGAATCGGCAGCAGCAGGTCACCGAGGAGAAGTCTGATCTGCGGAGGACGACACGAGATGCTCGGGCCGTGCGTCCGTTTCTGCTGCGTCTCATCCGCGGATACTACATCGACGCCATCTCCCGGCTGCCCGCCGCCGAGCTCCGGACCACCCTAGCGCGCGGCCTCCTTGTCGGTGGGCACTGCTACGGTCCACTCCACCCCGTCCACAACATCATCCTCAATTCCGTCTGGTACGCCGCCGCCTTCCCCTTCCGCGCCGACCCCATCGATGTCGACGTCGTCACCACCGAGGGCATAAGCCGCCTTGCCCACCGCTCTCTCGATGGGTTGGTTGCCTACCTCTGCCACAAATGCCCTGACCTTTCCCACGACGACGCCCTCTGGCACCTCGCCCTCTCCCTTGCCGCCCTCCATGGCGCCTCCGCCTCCGCACGCGGTGCTGTTCCGTTCGGCCGCACGGAATTGGAAGCCGTTCCATTCCAGGTCGCTCCGCAGGCTGCGCGGCACCCAAAACCTTCCGCCCTTACGCGCTTCGTCACCTCGGTGCTGCCACCTCTGGAGCGCGATGTGCTCTCGCTGCTTGCTGGCAGGCGTAGGCTCTCCTCGCATGACATCCTGCGTCTCTCCGCCATGCTGCAGCCTCTCCCGCTGCCAGATGCACTGGCGCAGCAACCGTGTCCTCGAGAGCTGAGCATAAGAATTGGACGAATCATCGCCGAGAGGAGGAGGTGCTGTAGGATCGCGTACCAAATGTTTATTGACATTGCAGATGCGGCACTGCACAAGTTTGCTCGTCAAACTGGGGCACGATACCGCCTTCATATTATCTATAGCCAAAGCATCGTGGAGGCTGGGGATTGGTGTGGCCTGGACCAATATGTTCACATCAATTTCATGGCCTGGCCAAAGGGTAAACAAACCCAAAGCCAGATTCCAGTTTGCTTCTTTGCTGAAGCTCATAATCCAGCAACCAGAAACTGTTCTGAAGAAGACATCACCTCCTGCTGCATGCTTGGATGCGCACAACCATCGTCAAGTCATGTTGGTATGCTTTTTTTAATCTCAGATCCTTTTTCACCGTATACATTACTAAAAGTTGAGCGCCACCTGACCACCTAGGGCAACATATCATGCTTGCTTGCTTGTCTGCCTTGCAAATGCAATAGCAGGACCACTCCTGTTATTAACGTTCCTATATGATTAGTAGATTGGGTGTTCCTTTACGACTGGCTAGCGGATTCTGGGTTAGGCTGCATGTTCTGTGCATAATATACCAGTTAAACCTGGTAACCAAGAAGCTTCTATTAGTTCCCTGTTTTTGTTGCATCTATTTCTCTGTTCCTTGTTTGTTCCCAGTTTGATTAGTTCCACAAATAAGACTCATTGTTGGTTGGTACTTTCTCTGTTCCAAGTCATACTTTTCTAACTTTGACCATGTTTTCACAAAATTATGTTACCATCTACAAGTTCAAATAAATGCACTATCAAAGCATATTTATGGAGAATTCAATTAAACTGATTTGATGTTATAGATGTTGGTCCATTTTTCTATAAACTTGACCAAAGTATAATTTGGAATAGACGGAGTAGATGAAATCTTCTTATGAATCTTGCTTAATGCCAGAACAAACACAATGGTTCTGCAGAAAAAGAACTAATAACAGGTTCTGGCTGATTTATATGCAGCAGTGATTGCCTTGTATGTTGAGCAAAATATTTTGGGATCTACATGGTATGCATTGGAATCTGTCTATTTTTAATGTAGAGTATTGCAACCTAGAGATGCATTTGTTTTGTACAATCTGATAGTACCATGTCCTGTTTGCAAAATTTATGATGTTTGATTATTGACGTGAAGTTCCTTTTTTCTTGTCGTATTTCAGTGGCAGATTCTGTCTCTAATCCTGCTTGTGGACAAACGCAGATAATTGTTATGCTTGTGCGAGGATCAATAGAAAAATTGATCATCCAAATGGCGAGGAGCACTTCGGAGGGCATTCGCACAAGACAGATGAAACTGAGGATGACCGTGATTGCCCAACCACCATTGACGTGGACTACAGGTTTTTCGATCCTGACAGAGACATTGACCTTGTGAAGTGGTATGCTGATAAGATAAATCGTGACGAAGCTATTGATTCCAAGCTGGGCTTGAAAAAGAGGAGCACAAATGATGAAGATGTAGCCAAGGAAGATATTGAAGTTTATTGCAGGCGATATGTCTGATGGATGGGTAAACGAAGATGAATGAGGGACCACCAGGAGTTTCCAAACTAAATAGCTCGTCTTGTGTTATATTATCTTTACAACTAAAATATTCGTAAGAGAATCGTTGATTGGTGGGCGAAACAACGCTCCCTTGTGCGAAACAAAACCTTGCGCTCTCGCTTCCCCAGGCGCGTGGACCAACGCTCCCTCCCCTCGCTAGATGCCGCCTTCAATCGTGCTCCTTCCTCTTGCCACGACCAATCACGCTCCCTCTTCCTTTTCCCTCATCCCCGCGGTCGCCCACGCCACCCCCTCCTCTTCCTCCCGTTCGCTCGTCGCACAATCGCCGCGTCTACCACGCCGTCCTCACCCGCGCTCGCCCACGCCAACGCCTCCTCACTCCCTGCCGCGCTCAGCAGCCGCAAGCCCGTGCCACGGAGGAGCGCCGTGGGATTCACCTCTCGTCCGCGACCTCCACTTCTACCTCTGCGTCCCACGGAGGATCTGGTTTATACTAGATCGACGACGATCCCTTCTCCGCACATCTGGTTTTTCCTCGCCGCCCTGTCCCGAGCCATCAGCCTGGTGCCTGCGGTCGCGGGTAGCAGCCAGCCGCTCCCCATAGAAGATGCTGCTGTCGCCGGCCTATTCGTCGGGGGAGAGCACGCGCGGCCGCCCTGCCTAGCGCATGGGCTCCCCGGCGCCCCACCTCCACGAGCCCCGCGCTCGCCTCGTCCCCTCTCTTTCCCTCTCCCCATTCCCTGCCTTCTTCTCCGCTTGGTCGAAGCCGCTGCCGCCGCCTGCTCCTCGATCTGTTCGCGTCGTGAACTCTTCCTCCCTCCGCATGCCACGGTGAGCCGTAACCCAAAGCCGGACCTCCTCGTTGACGGTCGTCGTGACCTGAAGCCCCAAGGCAAGATCCCCTGTTGTCCTCCCCTCCGCTCTCCACTGCTCCTCTCTCCTTTTCTCCCGGTCATCTTCCTCCTCTGTACTCGTTTGGTTTAGATTGCAAGTTTTTTCACTCTCTCTGTCACATTAAATCTTTAACACATACACGAAGTATTAAATGTAGATAAAAAAACTAATTACACAGTTTGATTGTGAATTACGAGACGAATCTTTTAAAACTAGTTAGGCCATGATTAGACAATAATTATCAAACAGTGCCAAATATTGGTTCCTAACCTCAATCTAAACCAGGCCTCAGTCCTTCCTCCTCTGTATAAATTTCAGAGGCATATTATTAAATCCTTCTCTGCCTTAGTGTCGTCTGCTCTGTAGGTACTTGGTATGTAGTTGTGTTGCATCTACAGACTACGTACGTCTTTGTGGATATAATATGCCTCTTAAATCTTCAATTGTGATTCATTGTCTGTTGGTGTGGTGTTGCATATACAGATTACATCAAGGCATGAAGATTAACTTTAATTTGTTCAGCTACACATATTCGGTATAATTTGGTCACCGCCTAACGCCTTTTCTAATGGCTCTGATTCGTAAAGGCTGACATCATGATGATGTCATATAGGCCTCGTTCGCGTGTCTTTAAAGCCGACTTGATCCGTTTATTTTTTTTATCTGGAATAGTGTTTTTCTCTCACAAAATCCTTCAGCATTTCTTCAGACCAGATTCGTTTAGAATTCAGATAAACGAACAGGCCCATAGTCTCTTTTCCCTGTAGTAATAAATAAAGAAAACTAGAAATACAATTCCAGGATACACTTATACAGAACAGATATCCGTGGCCGTGAAACCCAATAACCAGCAGCCGGCAGCCGTACGGCTGGCGGCCGCCTACAGCTGCGAGCACCCAGCAGCGAGGGACGTGTATTTGATTCTAGAGATTACTCGTTCTGCAGCCCATGTGCAATTTCACGTGATTCTTCTGTACAGTAGACCATAAACGAGGATATACGCATGGTTCTATATATTGAATACTTAATTAGCAGTAACACCATGGTAGCAACAAACTTTTCAATGAGTATTATACTGTTCCGGCTGATTTGTTGTGAAAGAAAAATACTATTTCAGCTAAAAAAACCGTAAAGACGGATTATAAGAGAAATGAACAGGACCGCAGCCTCATTGAGTACAGTGTATGCAGAATCAAACTCAAGTCGGAGGATTTTGACTGATTCAATATATAGGACATCATGTTTGAAAAATATCAAATATGCATGAGCGTTAGATGCCGCTGAAGATTGGTTGTCCCCCTGCGAACGGACTTTGTAATGGAAGCGGGCTTATCATATGGGGGTTTTAAAAGAATACCATAGACGTAGAAATTATGTTGGGACAGTACGCTGGAAAGTGGGTTTTTCTGCCTCGTATACTCTTATGCCCGTTGGGCAATGAGATGTTTCCTTTCTAATTTAAGCGAAAGCATTTCTCTATTCGGCTCAGCTTCGCAATGACGGTTAACGAGGCACAGGGGCAGACTATCCCTAATGTCGGGGTATACTTGCTAGAACCAGTGTTCTCGCATGACCAATTATATGTGTCGCTATCAAGAGCTACAGCAAGATCGAACATTAGGATCTTGGTTGTGCCGGCCGTTGAGAAGGATGTGAACAAGGAAAAAGAGAAAGAAGCGGAAGAAGAGACCGACGAATGAGATATTCACAGAGAATATTGTATATAAAGAGGTTCTAACTCTACGAAAGAGGTAATGCATTACACGTCGATACATATTTTTTCAAGACTGGTATTAAAGTCGGCTGATAAGTCGGCTGAAGTTGTTTTATTGTGAGAGAAAAATATTGTAGATTCTAGCTGATAAGCCGACTGGTAAGTTCAAGCGAACAGGCCTATTAGTACTTCAACTTTAAAAAATTAACAAATAACTTATGTGCAGGATACTTCTAACTATAGCTTCAACTATCTGCATGCTTCAGCTGCAAGAAGTTAGATGCCACATCTTGGACTTGAAAATCTTCTGGATTATTTTTGAATGGTGACCAGCTACAGCTTGGTGTTCGTGCAAAGCACGTTCTCTTGGTTGAAACATTGAAAGATTAGATTCTTAATTGTACAATATATTGTAAAACATGTATTGTAAAATACAAATTTGTTATGATTAAGGTGAATGCTCGTGTATTGCAACTTGTAAAACATCACGATTGCAGTATTTATTTTAGATACAGTATAATACGTGCTCATACATATATTGGGCGCGTTCGCTGGTCTGAACAAATCAGACCAGCCGGCTGGTCCCCCTCTCAATCTATTGTTCACTAAATCAGCCGAACAGTGTTTTCTCTCACAGAAGCAGCCAGTTTCAGTTAAGTTTTAGACCAACGAACGGGGTCATTATCGTGATGTTATATGTACCCATTGCAACGCACGTGTATTTAACTGGTTACTATAATATGTATTTCGACGTGGTGTTGTGTGCGGATTGCCTCCACCTGTTCGTCCAACTGAGTTTCCAATCCCAATGGAGGAACCATTCAGAGTCTAATTTGACACTTTGAGCTGGACTGGCATGAATCGAAACCAGAAAGAATACTATTCTAGGTTCATTTATGAATTCTGTGTTGTATAAATTGTGTCTGAGGCGTGAGACCCTTTGGTCAGTCTGCGGGTGTATTATAAGAGAGAGGCTGAAAGGGGAACAGAAAAATATAGAACCTTCGCCGAGGGGAGCCTTCTCCAGCTACCGTCTCTTGATCCTATCCTGGTTGCTACCGTCTTTTATACCGAGGCTGTGTTTAGTTCATGAATTTTGATAATTTGGCTAGCACTTTCGTTTTTATTTGGTAATTAGTGTTCAATTATGGACTAATTAGGCTCAAAACGTTCGTCTCACAATTTCCAACCAAACTGTGCAATTAGTTTTTTTCCCGTCTATATTTAATGCTCCATGCACGCATCGTAAGATTCGATGTGATGAGTACTGCAGCACTTTTTGGAATAATTTTTGGGACTAAACAAGCCCTGACTAGAAATTCCCGCGCGCCCTACCAGCCAGAGAAAAATGAGCCATAAGAAAACACAGTGATATTCATATACTGTTCAATAAAGGAAGGGTACCAGATGCAGCGCTGTGCCGGCCAGAGTAGCAGCAGTGAGCAGAGCTAAAATAAACAGAGAAGATCCATTCCTGATTCGAGTACATGGAGAGAAAGAAGAAAACACAATTCCTGATACATCACATATATGACCAAATTGAAGTAATGTACAAAAACTCAATACAGTTAGTGTAGCATATCACATGTTTTGACCAGAACTCATAAGAACTATATATTTAGCCAGTTGCTTGAATAATTAATACAAACATAGAGGCAACTGGTAGGCAATCAGTTAAAGTAGCCATATGCTGCCGTTGGGGCACAAATTCTTCAGTCCAAACAAACTGCTAATGTTCTCCAATAGCATGAATTCTTTGTCTTTCCGGCTACTATGGCCAATCTCCACGTAATTCAGGTATCTACGATAATCAACAGGCTCATGGAAGGTGTAGCCTGCACAACAGTCACAATTCAGTTTTCTATGTATCATTATATCCCTTAGATATAAATCTGTGTGTGACATTTAGTTATCTGAGCAGTGAAACTTAGAAATTGCAAACTGGATGTATTTTTTTAATGAAAAAATAAATTACTTCAGCATTCCCATAAGATCACCAAATGCTGAATCGGCTCTCTCAGATTCCATAGCAAGTTCAAGTTGTTTTTGGAACACTTTAGACCTATGATAAGATTGTTTTGTTGCTCTTATGGGCTTATGGTTAAAAAACTTAGATGGGTACATCTGTGTACAAACAATTAAAAGCAAGGTAATGATGGTAATGGTAATAGCTGAAATAGCAATATTCACCATCAACCGAAATTGCTGACAAAACTATACATAAACTTGCAACATAATTTACAGGGCCATGCTATTCCCAAATACAGACATGGTCTCCAAAGTCGATGTATTTTTCCATACGAACCTTTATCTAGACCAACCTGCATTCGTAGTCAACAGAGAAGCAAGCCTAGAGGCGCCAGAACCATGTATCTAATTGCGGATCCTG